CCTGAAACAAAAAAATATATATGGTTTTAAAAACTAAAGTGACAGCTCTGGTAACACGTGTCACCTTACACGTAATTACTCTCGTCAAAAACTACACAAGCAAGAGTTATATGTAATATTAAAAACACGTTTTTTCTGTCTTAACAATGCAATTGCGATGAGAAGAGCATGAAAAATGAGGGCATATCAACTTTCGTTGCTGTTTAGAACTGAGTTTTATAGGAAATGATATGTTTTCAAGTCTTTTAAAAGTGTTTTGACTATATTACTTTAGTTAAGTTTTATGAATTATTCTTCTCACATACTACAGGAAAGACTTTTTTTAGCACTTCCGTCTCATAAGAGTCACTTATAAGAATCATAGAAACAAAGAAAAATTTCTTCCATTTTAACTTATGGTAAAATATTACATAGACCAACGAATAATTGGAAAATTAATCTTTTAATTATTTTAGTGTGACTTGAGCATGATAAAAATCTTTGAATAAGAAAAAAAAAATTAAATAATTGTGCCAATTATGCTTTAATGAGGCTTAACTGTTACATTTGATCACAGCCAAGAAGAAAACCATAATATTTATTATAGTATAAAACAATTCATTTTTTGCTTAAACTGCAATAAAAAAAATTTACACAATAATTAATATCAGAAAGTAGTCAATACCATATTTATTTTAACAGACGCATCAAATTTACTAGTTAGGAATTTAATGAGGTGAGGAAGTAATTATTTATATCAATTTACATGAAATCATGGATTTTTTTTTAATATAAAAAAATTGTTTTTTGATTTAAGAACCTCTGTATAGCATTATGGCTCTCTAATAAATGATTTTCCTCCAATCAACCTCTAATCCATTATTTTATGTCCAATTGAACAAGTTTTGAAGTGTAATAATTGAGCAATTTAATGACGAAGCAATCATTTGGGTCTAAATAAATGATTCAAATGATAAATAAGTTAAAAAACACTCCATCAATTGAACACATAACTGTATTATTCTATTACGGACAATGCAAAAGAGAAAATGGAATAGAAAAATATTGATAATTTGAGTATAACAATCGATAAGTTATGATACAATATTTTATTTACATGCTTCTTGGGTTTGCTATTGAGCTAATGGTATTGAAAGAAAATGTTTATTTCTATTTCTGGTTCATCTTTATCTGTAGATATTTCTCATAGTCATTTTAAATGGCCAAGTCGGGAGAAAAGCTTTCATTTTGTGGTTTTTTGTAGTTATTTTTCAACTGAGTGGCATTAAGTCGACCTCAGGATATTTCTTGAAATTGACGAAAGCCAAGAAAAAAAAAAATAAGAAAAAACGATTGAAATTAAAAAATAATTGAATTAATTTTTATCAAAGGAAAATTTCTCTCTGATATTTCAAGAAAAGTGAGGAAAAAATATTTTTTGCATATTGAAGCCAACCTGTCAAAGATTGTTAATGAAGTGGAAAAGTGTTATAGCGCCAGCTTGTTTTAAATATTAACAAGATAATTCACTGGTTTTTCTTCATTAAGTAACCCCTATGCTTCTTTTTTCACGCTTCTTTTCATGACAGTATCCTTGAGCAAATTTATCATCAAGAGTAAATAATTTTAAAAATCTCCCTTTCTCAAGAATAATCCTTCCTTTTTATACGGTGAGTTCGATTTCGCAATATCTGTTTTGACTGACGCGATACGCCTTACTTTCTCCAGCCCATGCAGATGAAAAATAAAAAAAAGGGCAAGGCGTGACACACACAATGGAGAAACGATTGTAATGAGGAGGCATCGATCCATGTCGTTCAAGGCTCTCCCTTCTGTTTTTCTCTCTTGTCCAGAATGAGATACTACTAAAGATTCTTCTTATCGTGGTCAGGAGATCAAACCTTTTCATCTTGGCCAGCCAACACTAACCATCGAACTGACCATGAACATTTTTATTTGACATACTGAATAACAGTTTAATTTTCGGAAACTGACCTTGCTTTTCGCTTGGTCATACACGATCAATTGATTAAATTACTTTCGCTTTTGAAATATTGATCAATATAATATAATAATGTTGCTTTGTTTCAACGTGAAGATAAAAAAGGCTTTGTGTTAAAATCAATAAACAATTAATTTCATAAATAACTTACAACACCATTGTTAATGTGTTGAAAAGAATTTCCCTTATTTCTGTATAATAACAATTCCTCTATTGATCGTCTTGTTAATTTATTCGAATAAAGCAGTAATACGATGCCTACTTGTCTATCAGCTTGTTTCCCCACCAGTAAACACTTTCGTCTCCATTGATTGCAACTAATTAAATATCTAGTCTATACTAGACAATGAACTTTGACCCTGCTCAAACGGAAGCACCGTTCTGGCGTTAAGTTGCGGCTAACGGCCTCTCATCCACCCTTGATTGTATTTTCCTTAAAGTATGTGTATCTGAACAACTTGATCAACTAGTACATAACTCTAGTCCACGTTAGAGCCAATTGAACGAAACATGACGAACGTCAGTATTTATGAGATGAAATTTTTTTTCTATATACTGAGATATTCCGCTCCACTTATCTCCAACATACTATGCAGATCCTGTTTGAATAAGTTTTCTGGAATGACGAGTCGGAATTTTTCAATCGCAAGTGAAAGTTATTTTTACTATCTAATTAAAATCTTAAATTTGTCAGTCGTAAATAATGGTAGCCTTTTTGGTACACGTGTTTTTACTATTCTCCATTTATTTCCAGTTGATGAAGAAAAAATATTTCTTCTTTTACCATTTGTGGGTCAAAAAAGTACTTTGATTTTTTTTGGTCAGCAAATGACATAATGATCACGGTCCAATGACCGGTGTGGTCAAGTAATTTACCATAGCATTTTGACCACCGTGTAATAGAAACAAACAAGTCTGGAGGACTGAATGAACATGAAAATCAATTATACTTTCCAGTTATTGAGCTTGTAAGTATTAAAAAACTAAATTTAGAAGTTTATAGTATACTAAGATATCGGTTTTCTTAAATAAATTTATTAATTTATTTTTTTCCTATAAACTACTTCATTAATAATTTTTTAAAAAGTATTTCAATTTTCTTCTCTTGTTAATATCATTTACTTTTCTATCTACTTTGTTACCATTCTTATTTTTTTATTTTAAACAGAAAAACAGGAAATATTAAAAACTACGATACACTTCCGATGCAATCGTAATAAAAAATCAGGAGTGCAACTGTGCAGAAAACGGTCAGTTCTACTCGTGCGGCTCATCAGACTATTCTCAGACATATCGAAATTTGTCTGTTTTCCGCACTAGTTGTACAATATATTATTACTAGTCAACACCTTTTCAGTCAATTATTTTCTTCCTATTGAAAGTAAAAACTATGCAAAATAGTATAATTAAGCATCCAATCAATATTTTTTATTCCTCGATTTTTTGAATTCATCATTACATCATTTATCATTAAAATGCATTGATTATCATGTCGTCAGAGTTGATTGTTCTCATTGATTTATGCAAATTAATAGTTGATGAATGCAGAAGCTATAATGGTCCTTCTTAGTAGCATTATATTGAGTTTAGTTATTTTTTAATGAATTTACGATTCGAAGTAAACAGTTTATAAACGATTGGAGTTATTTATACAGTTATAAATTATATAGTTACTACACAATAGATATGGGTTGAATAATGCAGAGAAAAGTGCTGATGTGGGTAGTATAATGGTGTAAATAATATTATAGGATGTTAGTGAAGCATAGTATGACGACATAAAGGTTCACTTGCACTCTATGACGCCCGTTTTATTCTAATTCCCACGAGATGTAATCTTCTACGTTACAATAATTTCAGGTTGAATGAGATAATTTGTGGAAAATGATTACAGTACATATGACAAAGATAAAAACTATTTAGAGTTCATTACAATCACTGTAATCTTCACTCTTACTAGTTACATCGAACAAAATGATCTAATATTTATTGTGAAATATTCAGCGAAAATTAATCTTTCAATTTTCCTTGAAGTTTTTCCCTTTATGTTATATTTGTTAAAACTAGTTATAAGAGAATGTTACACTTTTACATAAACTTGTCTTTGAATATTGCATTTTTATTATTTGTTATAATTAATTAATAATTACCTGTCAGAATATGATCAGCAAAAAATTATATGTTATTATAAAATATTATTGATAAAAGATTATATTAATTTTCTTTAAAAAAAAGAGTAAGGATTGAATTGATTTGAATAGTTTCGAGTTCTTCTATTGTAAATCTAATGAGGTTCTTTTTGGATCAACATTGTAGTGAAACTCTTTTACTGAAGTTAACCGAGTAATTCATGTTAAACTTGAATATTATAATCATTTTCTGCTTAGTAATATAATCATGGGAAAATGATTATGTATAGAAAGTGTTTATAATTCATTTAATCAAAACATGAACGATAAGATCAAATAAACATCTGTTAATAAAATAATTGAATTTATATTTATATAACATTGCATTCGATTTGATTTGAAGGACATAAGTTACATGGACCCTTCTCTTTGCGCTTTAAATAACTTGCATCCACCATTTCAAGGTAGACTATTCAACCTCTTTATTAATTTATAATATTTCACTTTATTCCACTTAATATAAATTCATTCAACACTCAATTATCAACTTTATTTTTCATTTTTTCTTTTGAAAAAAAATTTTGTTTTTTGCCTGAGTTGAAAAGTAGTAAATTGCTTTAAAATTGATCTGATATTTTTTAAAAATACTTTTAATGAATGTATGTATATTTAGCTTAAAATGTTCCGAACAGTGTGGGATTGACATTGCAATTTACAATGGGTTAATGTAGCTGAATACTTTCAACAGAATTAATGAATTTTTTATACGAACGAGCATGATATAATAGTAAAAGATGTAGACTCGTGGTGAGTCTTAAAGTAGGAGAAGTAGGGTCTCAGAAAGTTTACGAGGTATACGTAAAGCATCGCGAACGGACAGTTACCTTTCTGTTCTGAGACTGTGAGGATCAAGGAAACCCCTTGCCAGGCGACTGGCTTTCAATCTCATTTATATCCGGTGAGTTCCATTGAGTGATATGGTCGTGTTCTATCGTCTGTCGGTGATAAGAAATATCTTAACGGGTATTCGAGACATTTTATCACGTCTTAAGAGTTAATCGATTTTGAATCTATTGAGGAAAAAAAAAATTGTTCATAAATTTAAGAATTTATATTCCGTAGCAATTTTCATCCATCAACGTCTTCTTCTTAGTTCTTCTTTCTTTTATGAAATTTGAAACTGTCGAGAGGTAATTGACAATTAGCGCCAGCAGGAACAATGAACGTGATGCTGATCTCCATTAAGAAGGTGTTTGAAAGTTTTTCGATTTATCGGATTTCTGTAGTTAGCTTATCGCCAAGTACCAACAACGTGCCAAGTGACTAAACCTTGATAACAGTCATTCTTGTGCTGAAGATTCTTGAAAGTTTCAAATCTCTAAAAGATCTTCAATTAGTTTCACTTTTTCACTATCGCTTTGTTTACGTTCTAATGTTTTCCAACACATTTCATTATTATCATTTTTTTTATTATATTAATTTTAATAAAGTTGTCAAAATTATTCCAAGACTTTTAAAAATATTTCTTTGATAAAAGAGTTTACTAAAAAAAATTTTAATTATAAAATGCAAATTTTTTTCATTTCTCGAAATCAACTTAAATTACTAGTTTATTGTTGGTGTTAGTAGAAAGGAAAAAGAAAATAATAAATTGAAAAAGTTTTGTTGAATGTTAAATAAATAAATGTTAACATAAAGGATTGAATTTCATAATTAGTGTAACAAGATAATATTTTAAAAAAAGATACAATCTCTAGAAAAGTCGCAGTTCGAATGTAGTCTCACTTACGTCGGCTTTTGCTTTTATGCTCCAATTATCATTGAAGATTGACCAATGTTTCTATGACTTACGATAAAATAATGTTCCTAGGTATTTAAAAAACATAAATTTGTTATGCTCCGAAAGGTTATAAATAAAAAATGAATTTGCGTGATACGATAATGACACGAGATAAAGAATTACCGTACAAAGTGTCATCATTTTTCTTTAATAATACTAAACTTAAAAACGGATTTTCGCTCTCGTGAGACTACCGGTGAAACGAGTATTTTCGACAGTAAATAAATGATCCAAGCTTTGCGCAAAATAAATTGCGCCAAGGATTCTCTATGTTCAAATTACTTCAACGTGAGGTGCATGATATACAGTGAATACAGTACACTACACCACGACGACCATTGTTCTCTAAACTTTATTATATCGACAATCAACTATAAATGCGGAAGCATCTTTACAGAATAAACTATTGCCCATAATTTACCAATGTTTTTAAATTCTATATTTTTTATGAAAGGAACTTTTATGGATAATTTTAATCAATAATAAAATATTATTTTTTGTCAGCTAATTTTTTTTTTCTGTCTAAATCACTTGATTTGACCATTGACATTTTCATTAATTAATGATACATTATTTGTGATAGCCAATGAATCTCAGTTAATTGTAATCGCTTGATATCTTGATTGTTAATGACAGTGACATTTAACCAATAATGAAATTTTAATAATTATTCAAATGGTGTATTTTGTTCGTGAATCACCAACGATAATTAAAATAAATTGAATCATTTTTATCCACTTCTTCAGTAATTTGTATCAAACTTTGAAACGATATAATTAATTTAAAAAATAAATATTTCAATTTCTCTGTTAAACAAATATAATAATTAACCCAAAACTAAACGAAACTGCTAGAAAAAAAAGCAATTCAGTTACAACCTTGACATAAAAAGTAATCTTGCTTAATATTTTGTTTCGCCAGTCAACAAGAACAATAATAACTAGCAAACAACTTCATAACTCTTCTGACCACTTGGAGTCTTAAATTTTTAAAACCATCTCATTTTGTCCAACTCGATGCAGTTGTCTACTGCCCAATATTTCTTAAAGCCATTTGAATAATTATGGTGACTGACATGGAATTATATACTGGGCTTAAATCAGTCACCAGAGTTGTTGCAATGAATGTGGTCAATAAATCATGGGAGCATTAGCAAATCATGAAATTCATGATCAAGAATTTGCTTCCTATTGCAATAATATTCCCGTTGGCGATTGAAAGTTATTCCAGAGCGTCTTGTTATACATATGCCACGTGCTGGTATAGTAAATAGCACCAATAAACTGGGAGACGTTTTCCCATGTTAGGTGGGGTAGTCCACCGACCCCAGTACACACTAGACCATACGCTAACTTAATTGATTTGAAGTACGATCGTGCACATCTAATTAAGACTACGTTATATACATTCCGTTACCCTTTCGTGCCTCCTTTAATTCATAACATTATGTTAATCTCATTGCTAACGTAATTATTGAGTAAGTAGCTTGTAAAAATAAATTATTTATTTAATCTCGGATTATTCAAAGAACTAATAAATTAGTGATTATTATCTCAGTGACACTCAGCATTCCTCCTTGCATCACTTCTAGCTTCTTATTCACGGCATTGTTAATGTTATGTTGATGTATGTATATTGTACTTAGTACTTAATAATGCGGTATTTGCTTTTATTTTATTCCAGAATGCGATAAATGTAGTAACGTCCTAGTTTGTCGATAAAATTAATTGTTTTATAAAAAGAATGTCAATTGAATGGAGAATTAATTTGTTTTAATCTTTTCTTCTTAAAACCTCTGAAACTTTCTCTGTACTTTAATTAAATATCTATGATTCTTATTATTATTGCATAATTTTTCTGAGTATTAAATCTGTAAATGATATTTTTTCTATAATTCAATATTACTAGTTATGTCGTATTGCTTAATTGGATCAGTTATTTTATTCCATTTATAATTACAGAAGTTCTTAAGCAAGCAATCAAACTTTATACTTATTTATGTCTGTCAATTATAATTAAAAAATATGTCGAAGTAAGTTTTTGTTATTTCCTGGTTTCCTGTTTTTCTTTTTTAATAATTCTAATATTTATTGATAAATATTTCTGGTATGAGATTGGCAACAAAATAATAAAGTTGTGTGGAATTTTTTCAGATTGCTTGAGAATTAAAACAGAACACAATGTTTCTGTTACTTTGGTCCTTGTTCGGCATGGCCCTTGGAGTTTCAACATCTTGGAAACCCATTATTCCAGCTCAACATAGTACAAGTATACTTCATCAAGAAGCTGCAGCGTATGGTGAACCAAGCCATTCGATCTACAATATTGATGACATTCCATTGTCACAATTCTTAACTCACCAGGATCAAGACACCTGTGCACTTTACAAGACTATTTTCAATCAAAAGCTCTACTTTGAAGTAAGTAGTTTTTATTTAAAAGTTTAAGTGAATTTATTGAACTTGGATAAAAATTCCCCACTTGAAGTTTCCTTTCTCAAATGAGTATGGAAAAATTATTCATTTCTTTTCACACTTGTATGTTAATACTTGGAGTCAATATGATATGAATTGAAACGTTGAGAAACTTGGTAAAAAACAATGGTGAAAAGTGAAATTTTGTCATTTCTCTTTAACACTAACCATCACAAATTTAGAGATTTTATTTCAAAGAAAAAAAGTATTGCTTTTTGTATAAAAAAAAAAACAGAATTTCGATAATAAAATTCATTGAACCAGTTTCATGCTGATTCAATTGTGGTATCATGACTGTTTAATATCAAGTTCAGAAAATAATTCTATTATCTCGATTCATATAATGCATGTTTTTGTTAATTAAATTGGAACAATTTGTAATGCAAACATTGAAAATGTTTTTATGGAAGAGGTCGTAAATCAACTTAAAATTTTTACTTCCATATCTCTACGGTTACAATTTCGAGAGTAGAAATTTACCAGCAGTGATTTCCTGTACTGTAATGACAACGATTCACACTACACTGTACTCCTGGTATGTTTGCGGTTTTACATGCACAGACATTTACCCAGTAAAATGTAAAATCTCATTCCTGCCTAGCTTACCACGACTGTCAATTTCTTTCCTTTTTTAATTTTTTTTTCCATTCGAATTAATGAACTTGGTCTCAGTGTAATCATAAAATAGCCGGAGAATATAAGGAAAAAAGCGAAATATGAATGAAAATTTTCTTCCATACGTTCATATCCAGATGATGAAAATCACAATTTATTAGAAATAGAGCTATTTATAGTGATTTTAAAGTCTCTAAATAGATTTTTCAGCCAATAAATCAAATTTTCAACACTTGATGACAATGAATGAAAAAAAAAAGAAACGAAAAAAATATTAGCTTCCGTATCTTTCATTATTCAATCATGAAAACAACGAACAAGAAAGAAATAATGAGAATTCTTGCGAGGATATTACACACATCGTCACGCACGTTCCGCTTTGAATATCATTGACCGTGTAATTTTGTCAAGTTCCTCGCCTGCAGGTGGAATATTAAATACGACTATATATCCTGCTATAATAACTTCATATCTTCTGAACAATTTAATCTGTTGGGAATGCAATTTCTTTTGCACTTTTAACTCAATCACATTTTATGCTCATAGTTAAATTTATTGGATTTTCCGTATTATGGTCAATACCACTCTTAAACTCAATTTAATAACAGAATTGAAACTGACGACAATCATCATATTCCATAAAAAAGAAATGTTCCAGTAGAATATTTGTAGAAGCATTGAATTGATCACTAAAACTCCACTTTCAGTATCACAGTTTTGATTTAATTTTAATAATAAATTTTTCATTTTAGACTACTTTAATTATTATTATGATTTGACACTAAGGTACTAATTGGAATAATGAAAAGTTAGCTCTGTACTCTAAAAATTATTTTCAATTTAAAATATATATTCTATGTCTATTATTCATTAAACAAGTTTCAACATGTTTAATTATTTTCGTTTGCTCATTTCATGATAAGCAAATTTAAATTTCCTACCCTCATTGTTCCTACCAAAATTTTATTATTATGATTGGTATCATAATAAAAATGGATAATCTGTAAACTGAAAGAATTTGCAAAGTTGGCATAAATATTCTGCAATTTATACTTAAAGTCAATAATTCAGTAAAAATTGACAGATTCAATCATATCTGTGAGTGAATTTCATGCTTTCATTCCATGATTTTTACTTCCTCTTATAAAACTCTGTTTACGTGTGATAATTAGCATGGAATTTTTATGATGCCTATGAATTCATGGAACTGAGATAAACTTTGTGCAACATAAATTATTATCCAAGATAATTACAATTATTAATAATATTTTTTATTGAAATATTCTACTTTTTTGAAGCATTAATTACAGTGAAGGCTAATTTAATATTAAAGGTAGAACATTGTAGGCACATTAATTTATTTGAAATCTTTTCTGGCGAATCAAAGCAAAATAATCCTGGATGATTCATAAAGTAAAAGAGAAATGAAAATAATTATTTCGGGTAATAAATTATTAATAAGAAACTCATCAAGAGCAATAAAATGCTTTCGATAAAAATAAGATGCTTCATATTATAGAAGTCATGATGAAAATTTCACTTTCTTTCTAAAGTCCAACGTCAAGAAACTAATGTCGTTTATGCATGAAACACATTTCTTGGAATCTCAACACTCTTAGAAGATATAAGAATATAGAGGAAGAGAAACATAAAGAAACGTGTCGATTGAATCAAACTTCTACCTTACATGTAAGATATAGTCTTGTTGTGCAGAAAGAATTCTTAAAGTTGTGTAAATGATTTTACAGAAGAGAAAACTTTTATTCTCCATTCAATTGATTTAAGTTATTGACAAACATTTATATCTGATTTTACAAAAACGTTAAATACTGCAATCAGATATTACAAAAGGAAACTATATACTGAATTTTTTTTTCACGAGTAATTATATTTTTGCTAAAAAAGCTCAGAAGTTTATGTGGAATCCCAAACTTGTAATCACAATGTTGTTTTTATGTATTAATGTGTCCAAAAGTATCAAGTGAGCAGTGTGAAAAAATTCTCTTGCACATAAATGTACACTACATGAGAATATCGTAAAAGTTACAAAGCAATGTTCACACTTCCGTGTAACGACACGTTCACATTTTGCAATCAAACGAATGCAGTTTGTTTGAAATAGACAGATGGCATGTTTTGCAAAAATGACATATTTTAGGTAGTATTGTTATTCTACATATACGTACGGTATTATCTTTTTTCTCACATATTGCTTTTTGTGTTGAGAGCATCGAATGATTTTATAAAATTCAAAAAATATTGTCAAATTTATTTTGTTTTATTCATTGTGTTCAAATTTTTTTTTTTTGAAAAAAGTTAAAAATAGTATAAATTGTATAATAGTAAAATTCATTGTTGTGTTTTTACATAATAAATACTAGTAATTATTGTTTGTTTAAAGATTATATTAAATTTCTATATTTAATTTGTTAGATATTGCGTTAAAATTCATGCGAGTAATCAATTATAAACGTGAAAATTAAACAGCATGAATTTTCAAAGCGTGGGAAATTATAGGATTGCATAAAAAGAGTGTAAAAAATTCTAAATGTTTTGCTGATTTTAAAAATTATATAATATTCAATATAATAAAAAAATTCATTTAACCATTTTTTTAATATTCTCTCATTTAATTATTCACAATATTTGTGGTCATAAAGTAGGATAAGTGTTTTTCCTGCTTTATAGCTTCTCAAGGAGAAATTCAGAAAAATTTATGCTAATAACAGAGTACATGTATGGTCAAGCATTTGCTTAAATTGAAGTCAATGGCTGATCATAAAACTGGTTATAAACTATCCATAAATTTTCAAGCCAGAAAAATATACGATTAAATAGTAGCAAGTTCAAAAAATTATAATTCTATAAAATAAGTCTTAATACTTTCTCTGATTTTAATACTACTAATTATGCTGAGGTATTTTAATAATAATTATTTCTATTGTTTTCAGTACATTCATTATAAATTTAATATGCCAGAGCTCAAGGAATTTACACTGTGTACTTGGACCAAATTTACCAACCATACAAATGACCATCCACTGTTTTCTTACGCAGGTGAGAACTTGATCGTTTCTCGAATGTACTCCTTACTTTCGCAGAATATTACTTATTCAAAATAACACTTTAAAAGTATATGTGTACAAGTTATTTAGAAAGGATCCCGTTACACCTGTACGCATGTTTTATACTCGTAGAAAGTCGAACGAAATCAGCAATCTTCAGCTATCAATTTTTAAATAAATTATCTAGTAATGTGTAGTATTTTTACATGATTTAACAAAATAATTTACTCTAATCCTTAAACAAACAAAATTGAACTCAAAACATTTTTTTAATTTTCTTTCTAAAGAAATTTCAACTAATGTTCTTCAGTATAATTTTATTTTACATTATTTTAAAACGATTGGAAAAATTTTGTTTTTAGAATTAGTTAATTTAAATATTTATTAAAAAATTTTCTGTATTATTTTTTAATGATATTTGAACTGAAATTTCTATCACTTTACTTAACTCATGCGTTAAATTTCAGTTGATGATCAGCCTCGTGCAATTCTTGCCTGGATTGCAAACTCTCCACGAAGTTCATATTACATGATGAATATAGACGGGCATAATCTTTATCGCTTGAACTACCCTCTAAGACTGAATAAGTGGTATCACTCATGTCAAAGTTGGAACGGTCGTTCAGGAGAGTGGCAAATTTGGGTCAATGGTGAACGTGTAGGTCGGGGATTTAATAATCGGGTAAGTCTCTTAACTTGTACTTTTTCTCAGAAATCTTATCCTCGGTATGAATCGAGTCTAGACGTATATATATGCATTGTGGTGCAACGACAATTGAAGCGGAAATTGTAGCCAAATATGTAAGTCTTCTGTTGGTTGAAATTCAAATCAAGTGTCTTAGTCAATCAAACATTATTTCTAAGTGGATACTGAGATTGTAATGCGGAAATCAATTCACCTGAGGTTTGCGTCCAATTATTCCATTCAAATCATTTGTAATTCCCTTTCCATACTCTATCAGCACGCCTACTCTATCCGGCAATCTCAAGCCTCCCAACGTGCTGTCTTCATATTTATTTATCGATTGACAAGTAGTCCACACTTTCAGGAATCAAACACTATCTATTATTCAATTCGTGCAAGTCACGTTCAGGAAAGTCCATGACTCGTGATGAAAGAAAGTATTTTTCAATCTCCTACAACTATTTTGTTACAATTTATCCAAATTTTTCAACTACTTGTTTACTCATGCATCAATGATCAATGTTTACACGTTATTGAACATCAATTGAGATATTTTTATAAATTTTAAATCTACAAATTTAGCAAAAAGTACTACTAAAGACGTCTGGGCCATGAATAAAATATTTTTGAATTTCAGAAAAATGTAAAGAAAATGTTGATAATAATTTTAATCTTTTAGTTGGTTGGCCATGTAATCCCAGGAGGTGGTATAGCAATTTCTGGTCAAGAACAAACACAGCTAGGTGGAGGATTTCTTGAAGGAGAAGGAGCCCCTCCAGGTAAGCCGAATATGACTCAATTATTACTCTAATTTAGAGAATAGTTGAATTAACGACTTTATAATTCGTAGGATCAGGGGGAATGCTCGGAGAATTAACTATGGTACAACTTTACAACGTAGCATTGACCGCAGGAAAAGCTCACAGAGACCACAAGCATCATCATGCTCATCATTATGAACATGATACCAGTAACAATTCACCCAGAACTACTACACAAGCACCAGTAACTGGTCCACCACTTCCAGCACACCCATTCCTAACTGGAGGACAAATTAATCACCAAGTTAAACTTAATCCAGGAGCAAATTTACAAATCGTGAAAAATGGAGTTATTCTACGACACCCAAGTCTACCACCGCCATCAGTACCAATGATTCTTCCTCCAGTAAATCCAAGCACACCATTGCCAATTCCTCCGCCAAGCACCAGTTTTAAATCAAGCTATGGAACAACACAATTCTTTCCAAAACGATTCCCTTCAGTATTTACTTTCTCCACGCCAAAAAATCCAATAGACGACTATAGTTTTTCAACCCCTAAGGCTCCTATTGATCACTACAACAGTTTTGTGGACAGTCAATATCACAACCTTTTCAAACGAGACAAAATTTCGTCGAAACGTAGTTCTGATGAAGGCTCAGATGATGTTTTAAAAATTGAACAATTTGAATCGAAGAAAGAAATATCAAAGAGAGAGGTAGGAGATGGAAAAGTAAGTTTTATTGAACGAGAAGAATCAGCTGAGGATAAAAAAGCGGTAGTGAAACGCGATTCAGAAAAGAAAAAACGTGGAATTCTACAGTTATCTGATGGTTCGGTGATTGATGATGGTTTTTTGACTCCTCAAACTTTAAGCAATGATTATTTCTCTGGCTTAGCAAGTTTTGGTATTCAACAACCAGAACATTCAACTAAAGATGAAGAACGCGAGCCAGCGGAAGCTGAAGTAAAAATGGTGATGAACGTTTGCGATGGTTGCACCCCAGATCCATTTGAAAAAGCTCTTGTAATGGACTGGAGAAGTGTTCCTAAAAAACTCTACTCCGGCGCTCTTTGGGTGCCAGCTGTTCAAGCCTGTAAAGCTTTTTAATTGATCGTTTATGTCTTCAGTTTTAGGTTTTTTGATTAAACATAATGTTAGATTGAATAGTTAAGGAGAATAAAAGTAGATCAAGACTATCGTAGGATAAAATATGTTGAAGAAACTAATGGCTTCCAAACTGTTTTCTTAAGACAAATTTTTCCATTTTCTTTATTCGTTCGTGTTTTATGGTGCTGGAAATTCGAAAAGGAATTCAATAAGATCTAATGAATCTTATTAAGCACCAGCCATTTAGCGCCTGTCGTTTTTCGACTTTTTTGTGTAAATGTTTTATTTATAATCCATTTTATAATTGAGTCACATTATGCAAAAATTAATTGATCTAAAAAGAAACTTCATATTTCCTTTCTCTATAAAAAATGTGAAAGCGTTTTTTTCTGTTAGTCTAAGAAAGTTTCATTCATTAATGATTTTTGCATAATGTAATTTGATTTATTTTGAATGTTAAATGTTGCATTTTTGTACAGAACTTTAATTTTAAAACTTCATAGCTTCTAGAATATGATCTAAAGTAGATCAAGTATTATACGTAATAAATAATTTTTGTAATTAAAAAAGTTTTATTCTTTTAGTGGATACTTTTTCAAATTTCTTATTTCTACAACTTACCTTGCTTTTGTGAATGTGTTGATGTTGATATTCGCTGTCAAATTCTGGTTCACTGAAGTAGCTTTGATCCTCCCAATGTGGAGGCAGGCCTGGAGGACCACCAATAGTAGCACCAAGTGGTCCAGTCATCCCGATTAGTCCATCATTTTTTTCGATTAATCGAAGGACACTTCGATCTCTAATATCTCTTAAATGAGACCTAAAAAAAGTATTAGAATATTTAATCAAAATTATACCATACACTAGAAAACTTGATAGAATAACTTTAAATAAATGTAAGTAATTTCAAACTGTAATTAAAATTAATATAGAAATCATCCTTAGTTTGAATGAAAAATATCAGTCTTTCTAGTAAATTCATATTGCATTACCATATTGAAGCGTTAAGTATTCAAATGGCCTAAGTTAGCAGTTTTTTTTTAAATTTACACATGAGCTTCTAGAGTGTAACAACATAACAAATGACCCACCTGTGATCTTCAAGCTCATAAAACATATCCTTGCTACTATCATGGATATAAACTTTCACGTCAGGGCTATCAAGGTATTCCATCGTCAGTTGTTTAGGAAAACTCCTGACGAAGAGAGCTTTAACTGTATCTATGCTCGTTATTTCATTTGGTAGTAACGCCCTCTTCGTCTCCTTTCTGTACTGCAGAAACACCAGCCCTAGGGAGTCGCCAACAGAAATTCATTGTTTTGTAAGACAAAGATATTCATCAGTTAGATATCTGACACTAGCTTTAATTAAAATGTTATAAGTATTGGTATTTCTTCTAGAGGAATACAAAAGTAGAAATAAAACTCCAGGAAGATATATAAATAACACAAAATAGCACTCAAATTTATACATCAGAATAATATTATGTTTAAAGTTGTTTTTTAAAGTTACATGAATTCAATGAATTAATTCAAATATCTTTTTCACAAAACTTTGATAACGATTTGCAATTATTTGAAGCTAACTTGGTGGTTCTGTTTACAAAATAAACATCAAATTTACTGGTTTGTTTTTTCATATAATATTTAACATAAAATGGAACTTGGTTTTCAAACTTTAAAAAAAAACTTAATATTTTTGTACCAACAAATTTACAAATTGTTGATAAATTTTATCACTACAAACAAATTAATTCCAGCAAAAGAAAAAGCATTTTTTGAATAAACTAAACATACAACTATTTTTTTAAGTAACTCAAAACATTTAGTATAGGATTTTTCTCAAAATACTGGACGTGTGCGGTGGACAAAACAAATGATAAGTTGTGTAGCTACAGTACTTCAGTTACCTAGTGGTCGCTCCAGAGTTTTACTAGGGGTTCGGACGACGGGTAAGCTACTTCTTTGCTTACCCCCTCGTCGAAAGCCAGTACTCGAGGTTTCCACTTCGGACATGATTCCCGGGTCATCATCGAAGAGCATCGCCGTAGATGGAGGCGGGTATCCTCGCGGAAGAGGCGACTGTAATTACAGATTTCAAATCAGCTAAACTGTTATTTCTATCAAAAGATTTACTAAGGTGAAAGTATCAATTAATAAACCGTTACATTAAGGATCGATAATATGTTACTTTAAATTAGGTATTACAAAAAAAACTTTAATGATATCCATATGCTTTATTGGAATGGAGCCAAGCTGTAGTACTTTTACCTTAGTAAATGTTTTCAAAATATTCACTACAATTTTACTCATTAAGAAATTTATGCTACAAAAATAGCATGCATATAAAAAACACTGAAAGAATAAAAATTACCTTTCTCTGGCGAGACTTGGTCCCCATCTGTTTATAAAAAAAACATCACACAAAAATCAATAAAAAGTTTGAATCCAACAAAAATAGAATAATTAATTTAACACTTAAGTGGTTGATAATTAACATATAGAGGTAAAATAGATCATATAAAACAGTAATAAATTCCAAAAAACGATCTCAAAAAAGTGATGAAAAATTTAATAAAAAAAACATACAAGGAGATTAAAAAACTAACAAATTGTTAAATAATTCAAGCAATAAAAAGATAATTGAAATGAAGTACATTATTCGAAGTTAATAATCAGGCTTTTTCAATGGTTTGGATGGTTAATTTCCGAATTATATCGTATTAATTATAAACCAGTTGTTTAGTGTTGATCGATTAATATGTATGAACTGTGCAATAGCCTGGGGTTTTGTGCCAGAATCCACTTATTACTCCGCCAGACTTGAACTGATGATGTAATGTCCAATTACAGTTTGAGAGCATCAAATAATGTGGCTGAGCATATAAAACCAGACACATTGTGCTGACAAGAATACACGACCCAAAAAATAATATGTACAATCATGATATTGCACTTTAAAAGTACATTAAATTCTTTTATAATATGTAAGGGGTTACGTTAATCAATATTCTATATTATTCCATTCTGTTTTATCTATAGATCACGTGAGAGGAAGTTAGAAGTGTATGTATTTGGGGGAGGTGTACGTCGAATTTTCTGAATGCATAACTAGTGTATTGAGGAAACTATTGAACGCCTTGTTGATAAAGATAACCAGGCGAGATAGATAAGCAAAAAAAACTCTGAATTAATAGCAGTGATAATAGTAACAAGCTAAATGTGAGATTAAGAAGAAATTCGATAGAAATATTCTATGATGTCTTTTAAGGTAGTTATTCCACAAGAGCAATTATTTATAATTTTTTTTTTAAATCGCATTATTTTTGTAGAATAATAAAAAATGAATATTTGTTTCCTTTGAACTAAAAAGATTTGACGTCTAGAAATGAAGATATCTGCAATTGAAGATTGCGATTTTACCATGCAGTTTAATGGTAGAAAGTAACCCGTTATAGTTTTTCAATAAATATTCCAAAACGGAATTTACGATTACGTTTAAAAAAAATAAAAACATCAATGAATATGTCATTAATGCTTTAGTGAAATTTCATACAATTCGGACGTTCAGTTATTGAACAAAAAATTATTAAAATTAATTTTCCGGCAACAAATTGAGGAATAGTAATGTGATGGTATATACATGTATTGGTACATGTTCGTACAAAGAATTATTTCTAATTGTAAAAAAAAACTATTAATAATACTCGCTAGATATTATTGAATATTACTTATATCGTATTATAAATAATTGCTGAATATAATTTCACGGAAATTTGGATATTTATTGGATATTTTTTTTCGTAATTAATTCTATTTAATTGGAGCAATTCGGGGAATAACTACCTCAAATTTGCTTTGATTTTTCAAAAGATGAAATCGTCTGGAAATATATGTCTCAGTAAAATCTATAATTCAAGAAAGCTACCTTTCTAATTGTGTAATTGACTCTCCAAAAATGAAACAGTGAAAATAATGAAATACACTACAAAACCAGTGAATGTAATAAAACTGATTCAATCAGTGGTTCAATTTACACTGCCAAATCAATAAATATTCACTGATTTTGCAGTATATATCACTATTGTCACTGTTTCATTTTTATAGAGGATAGTTTTTTTAAAAGAAATTTAAAATAAATTCTTATGATTGAAAAAGTATTTTAAAAGATTAGTCAGATTTATTTTTAATGTTTTACTTTTACAACCCTTTAAGCTTATAGCTTAGTAGAGATTGAAATTGTTAGGTATCAGAAAAGCTTTAAAGGTTGTAAAATAGAATTTTGTTGTGAACGTTGATATTATTTTAAGCTCATAAAACCATTTTGAAGTCCAAAAATTGTAATACTTAGTGTTTTTAGTAAGTGATAAAGGCTCATTCAACACCACAGCTGATTCCCATTTAAAAATATTAATCGAATGCATACTAGAATAAATGATATAGCAATAAAAGCATTTTAAAAGCTTTTGATTAAAAAGAAATCGGCTTGAAATTCTGTTATTCAAAAACAAATGGCAATGATTTAAATATTCAATTGAAGTATTTTATTATATTCTGTTTTACTTAGCCTGTTTTTGGTATCAAAAACTGTCTCAACAACCGAATATTTGTATAAAAATATTGAAGGAACATGGAGAAACGAAATTGGAAATAAATTGAATAATGAAAAATGAAGAAGGAAGTTAAAAAAAAACGTCCAGGATATTTACATGTGACTGGGAGTAAGATTCACCTCGAGATCCATGGTTGTATGTCTGTTTTGTGGAGTTCCGTATTGGCCGTGCGGCGGTGGTAAGTGATGGGGATGCAGGGGATGAAGTTGCTGAGCGTTAAATTGCTGGTGATGCAGGGAGGGCGCGTGATCGCCACTGAGGGTGTGCCGACGTGGCTCGTCCCTCGAGCGACCTCCGCCACCCCCCGATGTCCCGGTGACACGGCCGCCGATGCTAATTCCCAAAACTCCGCCGCTTCCACTTCGACGCCCGCCGGGAAGATCGTTTGAGCCACCCTCACCCTCCGGCCTGCCGGACCCACCTGCAAAATTCACAGAAAAATCGTTAGAACAATTGTCTCAAATTTCGATTGTTAGTGTCAAGCTTGTTAATGTTAATTTACACACTAATATTTGACTTCAAGTTTCGTTCAATTTAACTCCATCTGCTTTTTCTACTGTTTGATGTTATCAAGCTCACTTTGATAAGGAAGTTATTGTTTAATGTTGAAGAATTTATTTATCGTTAAATTGATAGAAGAAGTTAAATATTTTTTGCAGTTGTTTAGGGATTTTCTTTTTTATTCATCATCTGTTGTAGTGCTAAGATAAAAAAATTTTCTTCTGATTAAAAAAATAATAAAAAGATGAAAGAATAAGTTATTGACGAAAAAAATGTTAAATATTTGTTAAATGGAGTCTTTCTCGATTTTGTGTGATTATGAAATATTCTCGACGTGTTTTGCCACTAAAAACAAGACTTCTGGCGCCGCGTTCGACGGCCTATTTGGCAGAAAGTACCTAGGGCAGCCTAAAATAGAGCTTTCTCAGAAGGAGCTGGAAATAGTTCACAGAAGGTGGAGAAAAAAAATATTGTGCGTCTTGTGATTAAATGAAGCCTTACCAAAAATTTCATTTGTTTTGTTCATTATTTCCATTATCTCTCATAAGAATAGAAATAAAATATGCACCATTACTTTGATTCAAATTGAATCAAACAAATGATAAACTTTAGGGAAAACTCAGAATGCGATGAATAATATCATCAATTATGGAGCTCAATAGAGTACCTAGTTTATTAAACTAGTTGATAAGCAAGAAAGTTAACTTTTGAGTCTGTGATAGGTCCTTGTTCAACTTACAGCCCACAATGCAAATTAAATTTGATGAATGATTAGCTAGCAGGCATACAATGATCTGTAGAATGCTTACATGCAATTCCAATAATCCGACCCCATTTTACAAGACGAGAATATTTGTCACTGAAACAATTGTCGATAGTTTGAATGTCCTCTTTCAAACATCACAGAATCTATTGAAGATGGCAAGGATTCTCACAGAACATTCTCGAAAAATAATTCTTTTATTTTTAATCGTTAAACTTTTACCAAGTTTATGTAGAAAGATATCCTACAAATTTAATACTTCTTACAACTATCCAAGGAACTAATTTATCAAAGTTTCTATGAAAATGCGGCAAAGTGTCTGGAAAATGGAAGAAAAAAGAATAATAAATGGAGAAAAAACAATATAACTTATTTATATATAGGAAAATCTATAACCACTTGAGTATTTTATGAAAACTTTAAGAAAAACGTTACTTTATATTTTCCAACAAATCCTCGCATAAAATATTGGTTTTTGTTTCAGAATGATATTATCTATTAAAGTATTAAAGTATTGATTTCATTCAGGTCCATTTTCTCAGGTTTTCTTACTACCGTTTGAATAAATTATACCAGCTACTAAGAAAAGCTTGTCTGCAATAAGTAATTTTGCAAAAAAAATTACTCTACCTGAAATGCAGTAATAGCTTTTTATGCGTTATTAATGCTGTATATGGGGAAAGGAGACAGTAAGAAAAACTAGAGAACTCATTAACATTTTTTTCATACGTCTATTATGGAAAAGTAGGGTGTTAATGCTTCAGAGAACTGTAAAGAGTTAATCTCACTATATAAACTCAACCGTCTGAAAAATCTCTTGGTCATATAATGCAATCATACTATCTTTTTATTAAAAAAGTCATAAAATTATGTTGCTATTATATCTCAAGTTTTATTGATTTTAAAGTAGTCATTCAAAATGATTAATATCAATATCTCCCTAAAAATATGTGTTTTGTCAATTGATTAGCACTATTAGTTCTGATAAAACAATTCATTCTCCATTCAGATTGAATCTGCTTCCTTCAATGTTTTAATTTGGTGTCAATATTTGATAAAATTAAACCGTCTGTAATTTCTATGGGCATAGTAATGCGGAATGTGCTCTTAAGAAAACATTGAACTATATCTGATGAATTAGCGGCTCAAATTTCTCGTCCTGAATTATCTTAATAATTGCAATCAAGACTTTGATCCCTGGAGCTTTCCCATGGTAACAAGATTCGAGTGCCACACGGCTGCACTCTGTTAAATTGATGATATGAAGGTTAGACATGCATGGAGATATTTCTCACAATCAGCAAAAGGTAATATGTAAGTGCGAGTTTGTTGACTTGTGCGAAAAGGATGGAAACAAGTCAGGGTCTTAATGATGAGGTGGTTTTGCTTCCAGATCTAACTGCATCACGAGAGCTGTAACAGTAATAGCTCATTCTAATGCTTCTTCAAGTATATTTTGCAAGGAAGAGAGCCATAAATTTTAAGACTATTCCAACAAATTTGCAGGTACTTTCATATTCAACAGAAATAACGCAAATATGAAATTCATTCAAAATTGATATTCAGAAATGGTATTATTTAGGATAAATGTGCTATTAATTTCATCCAGCTATCGCTTTATATACCTTGTTATCAAGAAATAAATTATTTTAGTGAAGAAGAATCAACTTTTTGGTGGAAATTAATTTTATATCTTAAGAGTAATTTCTTTCTTTGCATGCTCACTGTAAAAACAGAAGTATCTTTATATATTAGTGAATTTAGTTTGAATTCTTTTAGATGTTACTGAAAATCAATAGCAGCAGACAAACTATCTCAATAAAGTGTTGCAATTATTTGTAACTAATTCGTTCATTAAATCTTCGTTCCAAGAACTTGGACTTTTATCTTTCTTTCCGTTGTTGAAGAACTATCTTTTAATACTCTTTAAGAGTATCAATTAATTTTACTACAATAGAAATTCTATTTAAGATTTCGAACTTAAGGATGATAAATATTTAGATAAATATATTTATACATAGTTGTTTTTTAATTATTTCAGTAAGTAATTAAAACAAATATCTTGTATTAAATTTATTATTTGTTATTTCATCGGAATTTTAGTTGGGATTAATAAATTTTTTTTCATTGTAGAGTTAAATTAAATTCCAAAATAACTTCTCTCACAATTTTGAAAACTTCTTGAAGTTCTTTCAACATTGTAGTTGAGATTCCAAGTAGACTTGTTACGATGTGAATTCAAACTTGACAGAATTGTCCAAAAACTCAGCACTAGAAACGAAAAGTTTAATTTTTAAGATAAGGTTCAGCAAACTGAAAAACAAGTATCGTCTAAAAGTTCGAGGAATAGGCCATCGTCACTTTTGCCATTTTACGAGAGTATTCTTCACAGTGACAGCTGTCGATGAAACTCGCGTGGTCAATTTAGTGCTATAGAGCCTATTCTATGAGAAAGTTTTACGATCTCTTTTTTAAGAGCAGTAAACATTGAAAACTTTTATAAAATTTTGCTAAATGTTGACAAAGTTCAAAAACTTTTAGAAAAATACTCCAAAAGACTAGTGCAAAAAGAAATTTCTGATTTATTATAGCAATAAAATCGTTCATTTTTTTGTTTATTGACGCCTTATAATTATTTTCTAAAGTTTTATTTCATTCATATATAAATTATGGGGCATTTAAAAAGTACAAAAGAATATGTCCAGCACATGATTAGCGGTGGAAGTAGAAGCAGACATTAATATTTCTATGCTTTAAATCAACGTCGCCTGCAGCTAGAGGACTATAGTAGAATATCGCGAGTAAAAACAAGTATGCATAAGAGCAAATGTGTAGGTGAGATGGAAAAAAATGGGTGTCTGGCTGTGCAGCAAGGAATTTTGAATGGAGGAAGGATTTAGACTACTAAGGGCACTCGCCCTTACTCTATACATATTACATCAGATGCATACATTACTTGGGTAGGAAATGTCAATGCATTTGCATGCAAAGTCGACTGTCGTGACTGGTATTAACAGCCTATGAGTTCTCAATCGTTCTATAATTAAAATGTGGAAATTAACTTCCAGTCTTTATTACTATACTTTACGTTTATTCTTTTTTATATTTTTATGTTGAATAATTAATGTTGCTATTCAACAAAGATACTTTGATTGACTGAAATCAAATTGAACATGACTATAAGATGTTGACTCTTAAAAAGTATCAAATTTAAAACATTCAACTATTTTGTTTTCCCTCAAAACTTCACCCTATATCTCGTGCTTGTAGTCTGTACTTATTGATTTGACAAATACGTTCTCGGAAAATAATAATTGAAGTAAATATATGAATTACATACATTTGATAAACGCAACAGTTCGCATAATTGTATACATGTTTTTTTTTTATTTTACGAGGGATTAAATTCTTTGAAATATGTCATTAATCAGTTATCATTATGATAAGCAGATTAAAAAGATCAAATGCTTTAATAAAACTCGTTCAGTTGTAATCAAGGAAAAAATTAAAAGTTGAATAATAATTTTCTTTTTCATTTTTTTTAATAGTAATTAATCATATTCAAATTCTTTTCTAATTGTCTCTGGAAAGAGTTTCCTATTCTATATTCTTGCAAAAAAAAAAGAAGCAATTGTGCTGCAGTGAGCTCTGCGTGTGTTATTTTTTCACAAACAATGAAACAAAAATCTTGTTTTACAAGCTGAAACTATTTTTAAAAAAAAATTTCATTGTACTTGGAGGATGTTTTATTATACTACTGTTAATATCTTCTGACGTGTTATAAGAATTATGAAATGTTAGAGAGAAGCTAAGAAAAAAATTAGTCAGTATGTCAACTTGTCAATTGTCTGCGTATCCGGCATACGAATAAATTACCTCAATCAGTTGACATGTTTGGACATCCGGTTCAAATTGATATAAATAATTCTGATTACTCCAGATATTAACAGCTCAATTTTTATTCCATTACTATTTGCATCTACATTAATCATGCAAATATATCTCAACTATCAATTTATAAATTTCTAGCTCTTACCGTAATAGCAATATCTATTTCAATTATTTGTGACTTTTATTTGCTAAATTTAAGCGAATCTTTATATTTCCAAACCTTTAGCATCTAAAAAAAGTGGCTTTAGAGTGTCACTCAACTAAAT